AGGATGGGGATGCGAACCCGCGACCCGCAGATTGCGAGTCGAGCGTCTTAACCACCTGGCCATGCCGGGCCCTTTATCTGTGAAAATAAATATATGTAAGTTAAGCCTTTAATATAACACATGGACAAAAAGGGGACAACTTGGACCTTCAAGGCTGTCCATTCACACCCAGCCCAGTAGAAAATGAAATTGAAATGTTAAACTCATTATATATTTTTCAGGATATATTATTTAAAGTGTCGGGATGGCAACAGATACTATAAGTTAAATTTCTGTTACAAAATAAATTTAATTATTTTTCTGTCTTTTCCAAATCATAAAATTTCCTTTTGTCTTGTTGTCTTCAGTATACAGCAAAAAAGAAGTCAGAAGCCTCTATCGGTAGGATAATTTTGTAAGCTTTCATTAGATCACACTTTGCATTTGTATAATGTAAGAAGGAGACCTTCATGGAGTTTATTACTGATATAAGCTATATTTATAATGTATTTTATTGATTTATATGTTAGCTAGAGGGCGCATGACGTTAAGATCAAAGAAGTTCTAAAAATATCTAGAACAAGTGTAGAACATAAATACCTCGTTCTGTGAAGCATTCAGAGCTTAGTTAGAGAGTGAGTTAAAAAGCAGTGAATGAGGTAGTAGGAAGAGTTTTTCAAGATAGCAGAGTGAATCAATTGATGTGTTAGCTATGGCGGCTACTTTGTCCAAGTAAATTAATTTGTTTTACGCTAGTTAAAGTCATTGTAACGTAGGCTTTCAACAATTGACGGCAGTGTACAAATGTTCAAGTTTGTAGAAACATTAAGGGAGGATATAAAGTGATTTATTATTCTTATATGGACTGGGGAGTGAATTATTTTCATCAGATAATTTAATAGAACTCACCAAAATTTTATGTGATACAATCAATTAACATTTTGCTAGTGGAAGAAAACTGTTATTTTAATATTTTAGATTATAGGGAGATTTGGTTTATAAACATTTGAACTGCATATATAGACAGAGTTAGGCTAGAGTTAGCAAGTGAGTCTATTGGTCAGTCAAAAGGTAATCATTGTCTGATTTGGTTGGTTTGTCTGTTGCTGCCTACCAGTTAATTTGTTTGGTGCTGTGATTATTGATTTTGTTTCAACAAATAACAAGAGAACTAGCCAGTGAAACTGTTGTATTAGCATCACAGTAGACTTATGCACGAATATTAGTGAGACTAATTTGTTGAATGTGTAGTAGAAGAAATAAAATATTGTCATCATAATTAAATGGACCAAATTTGGTATTCCTTTTTTACCGAATATTCCAAAAGAACTTGCCCAACAATAGAAGCTGTTACAACAGTGTTTACAGGAGTGGGATTATTTTAGTAGAAATCAAATACAAACCTAACTGAACGTCAAGATGACAACACAAGTTCAAAGCCAAGTTGAAAATTTGCTGGAAATGATGAAACAGTTAAAAGAGGACCAAGAAGAAAGAGACAGAAAATCTAAAGAAGAATAACAAGAAAGAGACAAAAGGTTGAACAAAGATTAAGTAGAAAAAGACAGAAATGCCAGGTGGGAATTGCAAAAACTAGTTAGGAATTACACCCAAAAACCAACTTGATAGAAAATGCACAGATTTAATTTGAAAAATTTAAAGGATATAGACAGAAATATTATAACAAGATTCAATAAATACAGAAATTATAACAACAAAATGAATGAAGTACAAAAGGACATGAATAAAGGACACCTGCTTAAGAATTTCAACCTCAACATCAGTAAGTATCTATGGAATAGAAGAACCCATCTAGTTTACATCTGTTACCACTATTTTAGTGCCATAAGATTGCAGCACCTTAGTGGACTATTGAAATTAAACTGTTACCTTATCAAGTTATGAAGGCATATGAGGCATAGTTTGAAATAATTTCCAAAGAGAAGGGATAAACTAGTATGAACAAGATATCTGTGTTGTTGATTAATAAGCTAAAAGGACTAACTTTGATGATATAACGTAAAAGAACTATAACAACTATCAGATAGTGGCAAATTATAGTTAATATATAGTTATAGTTTTCACGGTAAGACCCTTTAACAATGACTACAGTTGTTTCACAGTTACAAAAATAACTTTGAACAATGATATATAGCACCTAATTTTTACAGTAAGACCCTTTAACAATGATTACAGTTGTGTTACAGTTACAAAAATAACCTTCAAAAATTATATATGGCATCTAGTTTTCACGGTAAGACCCTTTAACAATGATTACAATTGGGTTACAGTTACAAAAATAACCATGAACAATGATATGTAGCATCTAGTTTTCACAAAAATAAAATGAACAGAATGATCTTAATTTTGATTGGCTCACAAAGGAACGTACCAACGTTTGACTGCCTGGACTGCACTTTTGTATCTCTTTGTTGGTCAAGCTTGATTTCGCAAAATTTACTTATTTCAGTAAGCTATGAAATGTGAGGGTAGGGTATACTATGGGGTGGGGGTGGTAGTACTTGCCCAGTCATTTTTGACGGGTTATACGCTAGAACTTACATATTACGCAGACTTCACAACTCTTGAATAAAGAGATACAATAGTTAATTATACTTGACAAAAATACCCTTTAAAAAGAAAATCACATAAAACTCACAAACATAAGCTCTTTAACAGCGAAAGTACATACAGTGCAATTTAACATAGATAAAAGCACATATAGTACAAAAAACTTTCAACAATGATATATAGCACCTAGTTTTCACAGTAAATGAAGGACCCATTAACAATGATTACAGTTGTGTTACAGTTACAAGAATAAACTTCAACAATGATATATAGTACTTAGTTTTCACAGTAAATCAAGGACCCTTTAACAATGGTTACAGTTACAAAAATAACCTTCAAAAATTATATATGGCATCTAGTTTTCATGGTAAGACCCTTTAACAATGATTACAATTGGGTTACAGTTACAAAAATAACCTTGAACAATGACATATAGCACCTAGTTTTCACGGTAAAACCCTTTAACAATGACTACAGTTGTTTCACAGTTACAAAAATAACCTTCAAAAATTATATATGGCATCTAGTTTTCACGGTAAGACCCTTTAACAATGATTACAATTGGGTTACAGTTACAAAAATAACCATGAACAATGATATGTAGCATCTAGTTTTCACAAAAATAAAACGAACAGAAACTTTGGTGTATAACACCAAACAGAAAATATATTCCTTACAATAGATTCCAAATTAAATATGCAAAATATAATACGAAGCAGAAAAAAATCATTTTAACAATAATAATTGGTACAATTTTAAATAGTAAAATCAAAATACCTTTGAAATCACTGGTGCAAAATATCTCTCAATACATTAAAATAACCCCGATTGAAATTGGCGGTTTGTACATTTTGAACATGGTAGCGCGCAAGCTAGAACATCGACAGAACTTAGTCAAAGGGACAGCAGAAAGCCCTTCACTAATTAAGTATAAAACTGCCTCTAAAAATGGGTTGCAAAAAACATCGATTTCCTGAATTTTTTTTCTTCCTTTCCGTCAGCTGTAGCTCATAAAACACAGTGTGCCTACTTTCAGCCTGTT